ATTATTATAATATTTTTTTTACTTTGTTCATTAAAATTGTATTTTAATTACTTTACTCAAAAAACTACTTAATTATGCTTTTTAATTCGATATCTGTATTAGGCCCATTTATACTTTAAGGTTTTAAGATTTTATCAATAAAAGATTATTAAGTATATAAATTAGTTATCAAAAAATCAATAGCAGAAATTTAGTCATAAGAATTTTCAGATTATAACATTTTAAATAATTAATTGATGAAATAATATAAATTTTAGTTATATGATGACAAATTTAATGATTCTTAGTAATATTCAACATTTTTATTACTTAAATAATCAATAAGAAGAGGTTTTTTAATAAAAGGTTAAATATTCCAAATAAGCAAAATCTAATTCAGAATTCTCAAACAATATGAATTTATAGAATTATTACATTAATAAGGATTTACAGAAAAGCAATTTCTAATAGAATTAAAGTCTATTTTATCGATATGTTCATCATTAAGTTCAATAAATTACTAATTCAAAATATTAAAAATACTATAGGAAAAAGATTAATTCTTAAAATGCATTTCTTTTTAATTGAAATTAATATATGATGCTATAACGAATAGTATATTTGTTTTTGATATGAAGGATTTGCTTTTTTCCTAAAAAAATTATTGTTAATAATGGTATAAACATTCTAGCTTGCAAAAATTTCTTTCGAAAAATTCCAAGCAAGGAATATCATTTAATAACTTATATTTCTGAGCTAAATACTATTAAAATACGGATTATCTAAGCATTTATTTTTAATAAATAAGTTTCATTATTGTTTCTACTAATTTTAATGTATTCATAATTAAAAGTGTAAGGCTTTACTAATTTTTAATATCTTCGAATATTATTTCTTTTAATTTATTAGAAGAACTTTTACAATATGTAAGCCAAATTTTATTTTAGAAAGCATTAATTTAATTAATTTCTATTTTTTATAAAAAAATAATATGTAAATAAAAATTAATTTATTTTTTACTTGCGTTTTTCTAATTACTTGTAGTTTCTAATATATTAAGTATTAGTTCTTCAATTCTTACTTTTTTGAGTTAACTACATAAAAAAAACTTCAAGAAAATAAAATTATATGAGTTTTGCATTTGCTAATTATCATTTTCATTAATTAGAGTGATGTTTTTAATAAATCTTTGTAAACAAACATCAGTTATACTTATAATAAGTTAACCTAAATCAAAATAAATACAAATAATAAAAATTTAAAATACCTATTTTCCATTTATATTTTAAACTAATTAAACCATAGTTTTGTTCACAATCTATAACAAAACTTGCATAAAAGCTAAATAGATTTTCAAGTAAAGGTGATTCTGTTTCTTAAACTAATGTTTTTGATTATCTTATAAAGCAAGCTGGGAAAGCTCTTAATGGTTCTTCATAATTAATAAGGATATAATAGAGCATTTTTAGTAATTACTTTTTAAATTTTAGTTTTTTAATAATAAAGTTTATATCATCTTGTTAAGCTAATAATTTGAAAAAAAACTTAGTTATTGGTTAGCCATATTAAGCTTAATAATTTTAAAAAACATTTTATATTAAATGTTAATTAAAACTAATTATTACATTTATAGTTTTCAATGCTGAATTATAAAATTAGAATGAGTCTTTTGAATTTACTACTTAATAGTTAAGTAAAAAGCAATTTATTAAAGCCTATATTGTATTAGAAATTTCTATTTATTCAAAAGCTCTATTTTAGGTTAAATTAGTGTAGTCTTCATATGTTAAGATTGGATTAGAAATAAACGCATCTAATAAATTTATGCATGTATAATCAACTTATATTAATTTAAAAATAAGTTTAAGCTTAATAAGTAAGTAGCGGTTATCAAAAATATAATTTACACTTTATTATCTATATATATTATATAATTTTAATATTAAATAATTTTTTATTTTCTTTTACGCTTAATTAGTTTTTAAATCTATTTAATACCAATATTTTTGTGTTTAACCTTAGAAAATAATAACTTTTTCTGAAAATGGTTCACTTTGTGTATTGCAAGCTATTTTCATTAATTTATAAATCAAAACTTCATCAATTTTATTTTATTATGAAAAGAAAGTATTATATTCTGGTACATTTTCCATTTTCTCCCAAAATTCTTTAATTAAAATGCTATTTTTTTTCAAACATTCGATAAAAATTTAGGTAATATATTCATAGTTTTCTTCATTTTCATATTAAAATTCTACACATTAACAAATAATTAAATCTGCATATTTAAATAAGACTTCTTGATAAATATTTTTAAGAATACCCAAATTTTGATTTTATAACACTTTTTTAACAAAAGTAAAATACCTTTCAACACATTCGTTAAAATTATCTGTTAATTTTCCTTATTTTACAATTTTTAATAAATAAGTTAAAAGAATATACTTATCATTATCTTATTAAAACTAAGATAAGTTCAAATCTTTTTGTTCTTCTAAAAAGGAAATTATTTACACAATACAAGCATCTTATAATTAAATACTTAATTAATTGAGCTTATCTTTCTTTTTATTTAACCATACTTTAACATTTCCTCTATAATTGGTCTTAAATAAAATATCTAAGCAATGATTAATATTTATTTTATTAGGGCTCCAATTATAATTTAATAAGAAAGTTAACTACATTATTTAATAAATTTCTCTTTAAACCTAGACCTAAAACCTATCCATATCTTGCTAAGTTAACTGTTAAGGAATATTCATATAGTTTTCATATAAGAGTTTCTATAAATTTTCTTCAAACTTACTTTCTTAAAAAAAATCTTTTATTGTTTGATTGTGCTATTAGTTATCTTATTAACAAATGAGTATTCTTAAAGCTTAAATTAGGCAATTTCTTTGATAAAAGTATTATTTTTTCATAAATTAGGTGTTCAAGTTTTCTATAAATTTCGATTTATTTTAAATTATAACTTCCTTGCCACCATCATCAAACTTTAAACAATTTTAATCGTAAAAATATTGAATCGAAGGTTGTTTTGTATCGGGATCAAAAAAGTAATCAATATATTCTTTATTCGTTTGAAAGAATTAATCAATTTAATAGTATACTGATAAAGGATTTAAATCTAAATATAAAGCTATTTCTTCAATGAATAATACAATTATATATTAATATTTATATTCAGATAATTCTTTTATTGAAAATTTCAAAGGAGACTTTCCTTGTTTTGAATCATTCTTATATTCCTATTTTTAAAAATTTATTTAATATAATTATTTGAATATACCTCCCATTTTTTTTAATCTTTATGACTAATTTTATTTTTTTAGCTTAATAATCCAAATAAAAGTTTATCTTTGATATTCGAATCTTTTAGAAATGAAAATAATTAATTTTTTTCTATTTGAATAATATTCAATAGAAGGTTCAATATATTTGAGTTTAGCTTTAGTCCTAAAGAAATTATATTTTAATTATCTTTAATAGTTTCTTAACTTAAATTTCTTTTATCTTGAGGAATTTAAAAATTAGAAATTTTTTTATCCTCAGGTTGGTTAGGTTATTGTTACTATTGTGGTTATTATTACAATTACTTTGGTTACTATTAATCTTTTTAAGGCGATTTGTTTGTAGTTTACGGAGTTTTTAATTCAATTTATTATCCAAATAAGCCTTTATTTTCCGTTTTATTTTTATCTTGATCACCTTATTAAGCTTGTATATTTTTTTAAAGCAACTAATTTTAATCATTTTAAGCTTTATTAGTAGTATTTATTTATTGTTAATTATTAAATAAACTAATATTAGATTAATCTCCTTATACTATTGGACCTCCAAATAAGCCTCCACTTTTTGTATTTACTTATTATTACTAATCTTGTTTATCAACTAATCCTTCTAAACCAACTTTATTTTCGTCTTTTTTTTGAACATTGCATTATTAAATTTCTTAATTGCTTGAGCCGAAAAGTCCTCCAGTTGTTTGTAATTAATCAGCATTTTTTTCTGTTTTTTTTTAATCTAACTAATTCTAGATTGTAGAACCTTAAAAAAGTGGGGAAGGTATTGTATTTACATTCTTTTTATCACCTTATTATTATGTCTATCCAAAAAGTCCTCCTTATTATGTTGAATTCATACCCCCTAGGTTTGCAAATAATCCTCCAGAAGGTTTCTATTATTATGTTGTGTTTAAATTTGAAAATAATCCTCCTGTTTGATTTAAAGGTACATGCTATTATGGTTATTGTTATTGTTGTTGTTAATTATTATTAATTTAAGTCTAATTTCCAAATAAACTACCTGTATTAGCTTATTATTATTAAATTTATTGCGTAGTATTTTGATTTATATTAGATAATTAAGATTCTTTCTAATTTTAATTTTAATTTTAATTTTAAGTTTAAGTTTATTATTTATTAATTGAGAAAAGTTAATTTTACTATTAATTTTAATTTGTTACATTACCTTATAATGTTTAAGGTAATATTTATTATTATTCTTCTTTATTGATATTACTAAATAATTCTTTTTATTTACTTTCTTCATTTGTTTTTTATTATTATTATCCAAAAAGGCATTCTTATTATTATGTATTTTTATTTTCTATATTTTAAAATAATCCTCCTGTTAAAGGCTTATCTATTTTTTAATCTTAGTTAATATTTAAATTAAATAGCCCTCCTCCAACTTTTTATGTTTAATTCTGATTATTTTGTTGGTTCTAAGTATTTTAAATTATTTAAAATAAACCGCCTTATTACTATTATTGATTTTATGATGTATCTTGTAATACTGTTAATTATTGTGTTCCTGGTTAAATTTAAGTTCCTGTTTATTATTATTAATTTTCTTGTATATTAGAAAATAAACTCTATCCTATTAAACCCTAATTGGTCTAAGGTTATTTAAATTATTATTATTATTATTATTATTATTATTATTATTATTATTATTATTATTATTAATTATTTTATTAAGGTTATTATTCTATTTGCTATTATTATAATCCGAATATGACTTTTTATTATTAAGGCTGCTATTATGAAAACGGCTATTGTTATTAATTTGTTATTTATTATTACTATAATTTTTATTATTAAGGCTATTAATATTCTCCTTAATTTTATTAAGTAAATAAAGTAGGTGTTTAAGCTTAATTATTCTAATTTTACATGCCACCAAATAAACTACTTTATGCTTATTATTAAGTATTTTACGTGTTGCCAAATAATTAAGTACCTTTTTAATTTTATATATTAGTGTTTGGATTTAATTATTGGTTTGCTGATAAAGAAAATAAACTTCCTTATGTATTTTATAACTAGCCTATCAATTTATTTTATAAATTTAAATTTTTAAATATATTAATTACCAAACAAGCCTCCTCCTTACTACTAATTACCAAATAAACCTGTAGAGGTGTTTTGTTAATTTTATTAATTACTGAAAAGTCCTTAAGATTGACTCATTTATTATTTATTTTAATGTAAATATTTTTGAAAACAATATTGATTTTTTATTTTAGATAATATGTAAATATTTTCTAAAATTATTATTTTTTATACAATTTTTTTTATTTTTTATATTTATATTTATTTTGTTTTTTTTATTTATATTATATTTTATTCTCAATTATTATTCTTATTTTTGTCTAGAAAATTATTTATTTATATTAATAAAATAATATATAAATTTAAATTTATAATTTAAACAATAAATAATTTTTTTTTTGATTAATAAGTATAATATTATTTTTTATATATTTTTTTAGCAAATAAATACATTTTGAGTAAATTAAAATTAATAAAATACCTTTTAAATATAGTAAAAATAATAATTATTTTCTGTTCATTAAATATGCACTAACTTTAATATATCAATAAAATTTGCAAATAATTATATATTTAATAAATAAAATATACTTAGTTTATCTTCAAATCAATTATTTATATCTTCTATATTAATTTCATAGCTTCCAAATTAATCATTCCATTCGAAATAGGCATTTAAATCTTTTTTTTAAACAGTTGCTTTAACTTTTTTGATTGCTTGCATAAAATCGCTTTTCATTACAGGTCTTATACTATCTATAGATAATTTTTAAATATCCATGCAAGTTCTTATAGGCATCATAGATGCTTCAGCACATAAGTTTCTCATATCAGCGCCTGAATAACCTTTTGTAACATCAATAATTTCATTTAATTCCTTTTTTTTACAAAATATTTAATTATAAATAAAATTTTTAAATAACAATATCATTTATTAGGAATTTATTTCCTTTTTCTGATTCAATTTAAATAATTCTTTCTATTAACTGCTTTCTTGCATTTTTATCAGGTAATGGAATAAACAACCTTTTTACAAACCTTCTTTTAACAGCCTAAATATTTAATAAATAATATTTTATTTTTATTTTTTTATACATCATCTAATTCTTATGGTCTATTAGTAGCTCCTATTAATAGAATTCTTTCTTCACATTTAGTTTGTGTACCTTCCATTTAAACTAAGAATTCAGTTTTTATCCTCCTACTGGCTTCGTTTTCATTCTTTTAAAAATTAAATTATAATATTGAAATGCTAAATTTTTAATCTAAATATTTAATATATATAAAATATAAACTTCTTATCTTGCACACAATAATGAATCTATTTCATCAATAAATATAACACTAGGTTATTTAGAAATCGCTAACTTAAATAGAACTTTGACCATTTTTTCTCCTTCACCTACCCATTTGCTTGTTAAACTACTAGCTGAAATAGAAAAAAACGTTGAATTAGATTCACAAGCAATAGCTTTACCAATCAAAGTTTTGCCAGTTCCAGGAGGTCCAAAAAGTAGTAAACCCTAATTAAGTTAAATGAATACAAATAAAATTATTTAAAAGATAAAATCACATAAATAAATTTAAATTAAATTTTACTTTTGGAGGAGCTCTTATTCCTGTAAATATTTAAGGATTAAGCATCGGCCATATTATAGATTCGTAAACTGTCGTTTTAGCTGATTTAAGCCCTGCAATATCATCCCATTTTATATTTGCAGCATTTTCAATAATTTCACTTTCTATAATACTAATAAGCTTTTTTATTTTATTTTTTAAAATATAATTATTTTTGTGTATTTTTTTATACTTTTTAATCAACTCCTTTTAAGTTTTCATTATTATTAATTTTTTATTCTTTTTACCCTGCTAATGTTGGCTGTCTAAATTTTTTGAATAAACCTCCTTGTTTTTATTCTTGTTATTCTGAGCTTTAAGCATAATTATTTTTAGGCTATTAATAATCTTCTTATTATTCTTCTTATTGATTATTGGTTTTATTTTTATTTTAATAGTATTTATCTATAGCAGAAATAAAATTTCCATTTGTATTTAAGTTATCAACTTCTTTTACATTATTTCTAGTTTGTATAAATTATTAATTCTAATTGTTAAAATTATTATTATTTTTTTATTATTTTCCATATCCAATTAATGTGCTGTTATTAATATTATTTTAATTTTTAATTTATAATTTTTATTAATTTAAAATATTTTCATTATTAGTATTATCATTCATTTCTAATAAAAACTATTAACTATTATTAGGAACTCTTGCTTTTGGATTGATTTAAATAGCTGTTTGTTTAAATGCATTTTAAGTATTATTTTAATCTTATTCAAATTATAAAAAAGCAAAATATTTTTATGCATCTAAAATATTAAAATTTTTAATTTTTTTGTTATTTTTATTTTTTTTAGTAAGAATTTTATTTTATGCAAATTTCTCTGATTCAAAATACATATTTTCTAATTCTTAACTATAACTTTTTTCTTAATGTTTATCTATAATATAATTTAGTTAGAGAGCATTATATTAAAGTTCGTCTTCTTAAATTTTAGTAAGTGTATTATTGTTTTATAAATAATTAACGTGAATATTTTAAATTTGATTCTTATAATTAGTAATAAAATAGTTTAGGTTATTTTTTTACTATTAATTTAATTAATTATTTATTTGTTTCATTTTTTTGTTTATATATAAAAATAGGAAATATAGATTAAATAGGAAATATAAAATTGTAGAAATAATAATAAAAAACATAAAATTTATTAATATATATTGTAAATTTTTGTTTTAAACTATTTAAATTACAATAATATAGTTTAAGTTAAAATGTTTATAATACTGATATTTTATTTAAAATAGAATCATCTTTTTAATTAATTATAAATTGTAAAAAGTTTTATAATATTAATTTAGCAAACTTGTTTAATGGTCGGTCTATATTAACATATTATAATATAAGGTTAATATTACATAATTAAAAAAATATATAATTTATGTGTTGCTTAATTATAATGGGCCTAATTTTATTTTAAAAATAATTAAATCTTAAAAATATTGTATAATTTTAATTTTAAAATTTAAAGTATAATTATATTTTTTTATAATAATTATTAATATATAATTTTTTTTTTTTTAATAATTATTAGTATATATATTGATATTTATATTAAATTATAGAATTTTTGCTATTTAAATTATTATTATATTAAAAATTTTTAAATATTACCTTATTTTATGATTATTAATATTTATTATTTAGCTTAAAATTAAATAATTTAATATGAAATGTTAAGAAATTCAAAATTTAAAACTAAATAATTATTAAGATTAATAAATTATAGCAATAAAGATTTTATTTTATATAAAATAAAATTGCATATATTTTTTATTATTTTTTCATTACTTATTTAAATTTTTATTATTTTATTTTCTAAAAAAATTATTTTTTATTATAAATATTTTAAATTATAAGAGCATAATAAGAAGATATAATCCGATTAACATTTAGTAATTATATTAAATGTTAATATTTATAAAAGAGAATATTATAAATATAAATAAATAATCATTAAATTAATATTGATAATAATAATAATATAAATCGCTAGTTATTAAGTTAAGATTATAATAATTAAATAGAAAAAACTATTTTCTTTGATTTTATTTTTTTACTATTAATATTTTATTAAGAATAATTTTTATTTTAATTTTTTATTTAATAATACAAAAATAGAAATATTTTTATATCTATAAATGTAAAAAAAGAAACTGAATTCTAATAATAAAACATTAATATTGCCTAAAGTTATTGAATATATTTAATAATATTCAAAAAATAATTAGTATAATAATAAATATTTTTATAAAAAAATAATATTTAAGTTGTTTTATAAAATTGAATAATTTTTTATATTAGATAAAGTTAAGATAATAAAAGAGATAATATTTAATTTAAGCCTTTTATTTAAGAAAGAAATCATTTAGGAAAATTAATTTAGTAAAAATTATAAATATGCGAGATATTTAATTATGATTAAAATGTTTAAAAACTAAATTTATTAAAAAAATAGAAGGTAAATAAAAGTTAATTTTTTTCAAATTTAATTTTAGAAATTTCATATGCTATTGTATTAAAAATAATATATAGAAATCTAGGATGCTTGATAGTTTAACAATATAGCATTTAAATGAATACATTTAAAGCAGAAAACATGAAAAAACATTAATTTCAAATGATTCTGAAAGAATCGAAGTTAGGCTTTAATCCCAAAATAGTGATATATCGTTAAATACAAATAAAGAAGAATTATTATGTTAAGCTTAAAATATTAATTTAAAAGATAATTCTATTAAAAAGCCATCATTAATAATATAAAGAAAAATCGCAAAATAGGATACAATTAAAATTAATAGAAAATCTATTTTGATTTAAAAAGATGAAATTGAAAATTTAATTTAAAATTAAGAAAAACCGAAAGAAGACGCAAATAATAAATATTTAAAAGTTGTAAAATAGCTTTTTTCTGAACCTTTAAAAAAAATATTCCTAAAAGTTTTTAATAATTATTCATTATATATTTATTTTAAATTATATATAGAAAGGCATATAAATCAAACCTAATATTGAATTTTATGATATAGCAAAATCAGATAATATAAAATTTAAAAAAATTTAAAACATTTTTATACATTAAAATAATTAAAATATTAAATAATAATATCTAAATAAACAGAAAAACCAGGCAAAAGTTTGTACTAAATTTTAATAATAATAGATTAAAAAATAATAATAAAATAATAAATATTAGAATTTTAGTGCTGAGGAAATTCAACTTTAAAAAAATGAAAAAAGTAGATATTATTTATTTTATAAACATATAGATATTTATTTTAAATTATTTTTTATATTATTTTAGACCTAAATAGTTTAAAATACTATAAATAATTTTAAGATGAAGATTAAGTTCTAGAATAATAAAACCAAGAATTTTTTAAATATCCATTGATGTTATAAAATAAAATAAATTACGCTGAATTGAAAATATAATAATTAAAAAACAATTTAAAAAGTTTATAAAGTTTGTAAAATTTTAATTCAAATATGAATTAAAATTAACAATTAGATTATTAATGAAATTAATTTTATTTTAAAATTATCATTAGAATTTTAAATAAATAAATGTAAAAAAATAAAAAATATAATTTTAGAATTCAAATTAAATAAATATATTAACTAAATATATATTATAATAAAAAATTAATAATTATATTATAATTTATTAAATAATACTACATAAAATTCTTTTTGATTTTTTTAATTTTATAGAAATCTATTATTCATTATTATTATTATATCTAACTTAAATCAATTAAAATACCTTCTCTTTCCCGCTTTTTTAAAAAGGCTATTCCATTTTAAATTTCTTTTTCCCTTATTTTTAAATGAAAATCATTTTTACTTATTTACTTAAGCTCGTTCCAATTTAAATTTTCTAAGAATTTTAGAGCCCCCTGGATTTAAACAAAACAATATCCTTATTCTGAAAGCATTTTATTTTGATTTTTAAAAACTTTAATGAAGCTAATTAATTAAAATAAGTATATAAATATTAAAAACGAATTTATAATCTATATGTATAAATACTTTATATTAGAATACATTCTTTTAGGTTTAGATTTAATAAGAATATATATTAAGTTAGGCAAAGTAACATCAGCTGATGCAGCCTCATCATTATTAGAACTTAATTTTAGTATTTCAGTCATAGTTTTAGTACACTCTAATAAACATTCTAATTTTTAAGATGGTGTTTATTTAATATCCATATTAATTAGAGCTTAAGATGATATTCTCCATAACCATTCAGTATGCTAGTTTTAATGAATTTCTAGATTTAGAAAAGTAACAAAATCAAAAGAATTTAATAAAATATAGAATGAAAAATCTTTATGGGTTTACTATTTAGGAAAAACGTTTTAATAGAATTATTTATTTATTTTCTTTTGTATTAAGTAACTAATGATTTACAATTCCTCTTCGTCATATTCTTTAAAAAGCGTAGAACTTTTAATCTTTTCATCTATTAATTCTATTACTTCCATATAAGAATCATTTACATTGTAATAATCAACACCTTCATTTAATACTTATTAAACTTCAGGCAATTTTCCAAATTCCTTTAAAATTAATATATATATAATTTTAAATTATTTTTATTTTTTGAACTTCTATAAAATCATATATTGATTAACAATGATGTATTTATTCATCTTTATCATTTTCTGCAAAATCTCCTAATCACAATTAAAATAAAAATAGTTATAATTTAATACCTGTCAAATTTTTTATAAAATCATAGCTTATTATCGAATGTATGCAATTTTAAATATCTTCTACCCATATTTTTTTATAAATGGTTTCATCATATTATTTAGTGTAAATATCACTTAACTTTGAACGTGAGAAAGGTGAAGAAATGCAAATATTTAATTATGTCTGAGTTATAAAAGTTCTAATTTTTTATTTCTTTTTATCTTTTTTTGCATTTTAATTTTAACTGTCTAAGCTTTGAATTGCTTTTTCAATATTTTAAATTTAATTTAGATATTTATTCTTAATTTAATATTCTAACTAATTCATGTTTATTAATCTTTATTAGCAATCATACAATAATATATCAATAAAGTTTTTATCTATAAAATTTTACATAAAAAATTTTGAAATATTTTGAGCAAAAAGTTTTATTTTTTTGTTATTAATCTCATATTTTTACTTTATACATAATTTAATATACATATACATATATTTTGCGTTTTTATAAATAATATTTTATTTTTTACACTTTAAAGTAAAGTAAATATTTGAATAATATTAAATTTTTCGCTAAAGTTAATTGATGTATTTATGTTTTTTACATTTCTTAAAATATAATTTATTTCAAATTTTATTTAATTCTATCTATTATAATAGTTTTACAGATAATTTTCCATTTATAAATCTTAAAAGTAGAATATTGTAAAAACATCATCTTTAATTAAATTAAACTATTCGCTTTTTTAATTATCTTTTATATATTTTGCCAATTCAATAATATCTTTAGGTAAATCGTTTTAGTATTACAAAATAATATTAATTAAGTATTCTAAATTTTCCAAAGAAAGACATGTACAAGTATTACCAATAAAATTTATATTTTTCTGTTGAAGAAAGTTATGTATTTTTGGAGTCGGAATATTAAGTAACTCTTAAAAAAAGAATAGACACTATGTTAAGAATCTTATATTAGTTAATTAAACTTTTCAAGTAGAAAATTTCCATAAAAATATTATCTACACATAACCTTATAAAATAAAATGAAAATTTATCAATAATATTAAAAATATAAATATATAAAAAATATAAAAAAAAAAAATTACAAATAAAATTTTACATTTTTCAAAATATCATAAACTTAATAAATATTATCATAAATTATAGATTGTTTTTCCTCTTTTTGAATAATGATTTTGAAAGATTTTAAAAAAATAGGCATCATCCAATAATCAACTAAAAAATTACTAATTTATAAATGAAGTTCACTAATATTAATTTATCCGTATTTTTAACTTAAATGATATCTAGTTAACCAAAAAATCACTCGTATTTCATTAGGAATATTTTCTAAATTATTAAATACTTAGTCAAGAATTAGATTAACTAAATTTGTTATTTTTTGTATTTTCCTATCGATTAAATTTTATAATTTTCTATTTTATTTTAATATACAATTCTCTTATTCAAATTTTGCTGAAGAAGGCATATTATGAATTAAGTTTTAAAAAAAACTGTTTTTATTGCTTGTAAAATAGGCTCTTTCTTAAAAAAAATATTTTTATCTATTAATTTTTTTAATTCGAATAAAATACCTTGTATGTCTAAATTTAAGATGTCCTAAACTTCATCAGAAACTTCGTTTTAGAGATAATTTTATGAAATTTCATATCTTTTTAAAATATATGTATAATACTCTGCTTTGTTTAAATTTTTAATATATTGATAAAGTAATTTTTATTAATGTTTTTAATAAATTTATTAATTCTATTATATTTATTATTCTTATATTAATGATTTTTTTTTATCTTTTTACTCATATTCTTTATTTATTCTTATTTTTTTTATATTTAATTTATTTATTTTATTTACTTTTTTAAATCAAGCTATAAATCTTCATTTATTTTTAAAAACTCATTAAGAATATTTTTAAAAATATCCTATACACATTTATTAAATTTTTATTAAGTCAAAAATTCTTTTATAACACGTTTTATTAAAAAATTAGATCTAAACTATTATAAGCTTTGGCTTTTATTTACTTCGTTTTCAATTAATTTATTTATAAAATAAAGTTAATCAGATTATAGATAATGCTAAAAGTCTGTAAAAAACATATGAAATATTTATTCTGTTAAATTGTTTATTTAATTTGATGCAATATGTTTAGTTTTTTCTAATAAAATTAGTATTATATTAGGATTTTTTCTTAATTTATAAATTATTTGGTGCATTTTTTCATGAATTTATGGAAAGTATTATTAATAATTTATAATTTAAAATAGTTTTTGAATATTTTTTTAACTAGTTTACAATTATATATAATTTTCAAAATATTTATTTTCTAATGTTTTTATTTATTCAAATATTGTTTTAAAACATGATTTGGCTTTTTTATAGAAAAATTAAAATACAATTTTAGTTTTTTTTAATATATATTATGAATTTTTTTTATAATAAAGCAAATATAAATACCATTTTTATAAATGAAATATTCCTTTTTTATATTTTCTTGCAATTACTACCATTTGTTATCCCAAAAAATAATATTTTATTCTGCTTTAAGATTTTTTATTTAATCATATATGTATTCTTAGTTTGGTAAAATACAATCATTGCTTTGCTTTTTTCAAATATAAAAATACATAAATACATATAAAATTATAATTTAATTTTAAAATGTTTAATATATATTATTTACTTTCATAATATTAATGAGTATGATATTTATTATTTATTAATATTATTATAGTTTAACTTAATTTGGGAATAAAAATAAATTATTCAATAAATAATTATAAAAATTAAAAAAAAAAAATATAGACAGATAATAAATATTTTAAAAATTAACAAAATAAAACTATAAATAAAATAAATCTAAAAATTATTTATAAAATTGAATAATGATTCAGAATTACTATTAAATTTTTTTAAAAAGTATAATAAGAAATATTTAAATTGCTGATTATACATTTATAATTATATATTATAAAAATTTAATTACTAATTTAAATATAAATATTTATTTTTAAAAAATAATATAACATATGTATTTTTTATATAATAAAAATAAAACTCATAAAAAAATAATAATAAAAAAATATGGATTTAATTAGAGAAAAACTAGCATAATTAGAAGAAAAATCATTATAACTACAAAAGCAAGGTAAATATGGTGAATCATTAGATACATTAGAGGAAGCCTTTAACTTAAAAATAAATGCATATGGAGAAAATAGTGAAGAAGTTATAAAAACAAGTGAAAAATTATGTGAGTTATGCAATTTAATAGCTATGGTTTGTTTAACAAGAGAACGTTTTGATGCCTGTTTTGAATTTTTAAAAAAAGCCAAGGTATTGTGTTAAAATTCTCCAAATTTTAAAGCCGTAACATATAATAATATGGCCTGTTATTATAGAAGAACAGGGAAAATACGAACAGCATTAGATTACTTGAACAAAGCCTTACAAATCGAAATTACATAAGAAAAAAGTTAAAGTTTAGCTGATACACATTTGAATTTATGTGCTGTATTATCCCAATTAGGAAAACATGAAAGTGCTTTAGAACATGTATTAATGAGTATAGTGCTTTTATAGGAAGAATATATATAAAATATAGGAAGAAATATCAATAATAATAATTAAAATACTAATTTTAATAATGAAGAATATAAAGAATTTAATGATAGAATTGCTGTTTTGGCTATTGCTTTTCATAATTTAGGAGTAGAATTAGAATTCTTGAAAAGATATGAAGAGGCTATACAAACTTATAAAAAAGCTGTTAAGTTTTCTATTGAAAATTTAGGCGAAAATCATAATTTGGTTGAAAATTTAAAAAATGTTTTGGCTTAAGCTGAAAAACAAATTTAATAATAATAAGAAAATTAAATTAAAAGAAAAATAATCAAAGGAAATACTACTTCTATAAGAATTAATAAAGCTACAGGCATTTATGGACCTAAAGATTAAGAATAAAAAAGAGCTACTACTACATATACTATTTAAAATTAAAAATAAAATAATATTAATAAATCTCCTAAAACTTCTTTAAGACCTCTAACTTCTAATTATGCTACTAATAAATATTAATCTTAAAAAAATGATAATATTAAATAATTTAGTGAAAATTCTATTAATGATGTTTCACCTGAATGAAAATACAAATTATTTTTTATTTATATAATATAAAATTTTATAAAATAATTATTTTACGATTAAAGCATATAAATATTTATTTTAATAGAAATTTTTAATAGTTTAAAATTTTGATTATATTTATTACTTATTAATATTTTGCTTTTATGTATTTGATTATTTTTATTTTTATGATAATAAATTATAAAAAGGTTAAATATTTTTATTCTTTGTAAAAAATTTTTTAATTATCTTTTAAATTATTATATTTTTTAAGCACAAAATCATAATTTTATTTTATTTAAATATTTTCCGATTTAAAATACAATTTATAATACTAATAACAATGAAAATATTAGATTAAAATTATTTTAATTTAAAATTTCGTATCTTTTTAATTTATAAAAATATAAAATAATTCAAATCATTTTATAAATATTATTTTTATTTTTTAAATGAAAATCACTATACTATTATAACTTTACAATTTAGTAATCCTTAGTTTCTTTTAATATGCTTTCTATCCACTTAATTATAGTGTTTTTAAGAATATTTTTACCACTAAATAGCTAACTATTTGGCTTGATATTTACATAAATATTTTTGGTATTTATTTTGAGCTTAACAAATATGTTTATTTAATTATAAATTCCATTGTGCATTATATTTTTATCTCCATTATTGTTCTAATAATTTTATTTTTTAATATTCTTAATTATTTTTTATCTTTTTATCACTTACTTTCATAATAGTATTTTAATTTATTTATGTATTTTATATTATTTTTTATTTTATTTGTTTAATATAATTTAGTGGAATACATGTTATAAATACTATTAAAAATGTTAAAAAAAACAAAACCTATACTAAGATTTATAAATTTAAATAATTAATCATATTAATTAAATATGTTTTATTTATAATTATGAATTATAAAAATAAATTTTATTTTATAATAATATAATTAATTTTTTTCGGAAGTAAAGTTAAATAATATATTTTTAATTTAATATAGAATGAGAGTTTTTACATTATTTTATATTTTTATATTCATTGTAAAAAAATTGAAAAACAAATATTCAAATAAAGAAGAATAAAATATAATTATTTAATTTTCTGTTTATATAAAATATTATATTATTCTAAAAATAATATGTAGAAATATTCTGTTTTTATTTTTTTTAAATCTATAAAAGATAATATAAAATTTAAAAAAAGAAATCACTAACCGTCCATCAAATCAATTTTAATCCTTTGATTTAAAAATAATAGATTATTTAATTTAAATTCCCTAAAGATCATTGTAATCAAGTACTTTAATCAAAACTACTTCAAAATTATTAGATGGTACAGTGAAGTTAGAAATTTTTCCAGTAAAAGGTTTTCTAAGTTTTAATCCTTCCAATTTAGAGAATTTAAATTCACATTACATAGGTTAATCAGTGCTATTTTAAATTGCTAAATAGAAATATCCATCATCTGTTTATTCTAAAAGAACCCAAGCATTTTTATTATGCATCAACTTTTTAGATTTTTTAGAAACATTACGAGCATGATCAATATAAATATTTCTAAGAAACTCAGGGCATTCATATTTGGTAATTTCAGTTAAAATTGTATTATTTACACCATAAGTACTAATAACAAAATCTTATATCTCTGATTAATTCCAATCTATTTTTGTATAAATATAATATACTCCAGCTTCTAATTCTTAATCTTAAGGTTAAGCTGTCCAGACTTCCCTATCTCTTTTTTAAGTACCTTCTATGTAGCTTAAACTTCCATCTGCATTTTCTTTAGCTAATAATAAAGTTACCTTCGAATATTTAAAGTTTTCTTGTTAGTTTTTATTGTATTTTCTTTTTGGTTTTTGGTTTATTTGAACATAGTATTTACCTTTTTTTTGTATTTTCATCCTGAAATATTTCGAATGTTTTTTTGAACTAGTAACTTTCATTGAAGTGTGTTTAAATTCATCGTTTACATAACATATTTAACAATCTGTAAAATATTATACAAAATCTGAAAATTCCATTAAAAATATTCCATCTCTATGTGATATTTAAGTATCTTCAACTTTTTTATTAAATAATAAATATATATTGATTAAAATATATACTGCCCATTAACTATTTTTATTAATGAGTTAATTTCATGAAGTTTGCGTCATTATCTGAATATTTTCCTCTCCATTCAACAACTTGCCAAGGATTTCTTAATTTTAAGATTCTTGTTTCTTTTCCTTCAACATTTATTTCATAAGCGCCTAATAAAGAATAAGGTTATCCTTTAAGAATTCCCACTTTTTAGTAATCAGCTAGTGATTTTCCATCCCCTGACCCACAAGTCATTACATAGTTATTTTTCTCTGCCCTCAAAAGTTCATGCCATACATAATCATGGTTCGAAGAATCATCTAACCATAGTTATAATACTGGAGCACCTGTAAAGTCATGTAAACATTCTCTTGTTAAACCTTTTTCGATCTCACTGTATGATCCGTTTACTTTAGCCCAAGCTTTTTCTAAGAGAAGTACCCATATTTCTCCATCGTTTCCTCTTGTAAAAGCCGGACCTCTTTACTTTGTAATACAGGGGAAAAACTCATCAACAATTACATTTTTCCATTAACCTTAAACACAAATTTTAATCTATAAAAAAAAATATTAATTAAAATTATTAAAAATAATATATATATAAATTCGTTATTTTCATACAATTTGAAAATTATATAAAGATAATTTTTAATTACATTATAAACACCAAATTCTTTGTTATATGATAATTCATTATTTTCTTAAGTAAAGAGTTTTTTAATTCTATCTTTATAATTAAAAATAAAATAACATTAAATTAAATTGGATAATTTTTAAGCATATATAAAATAAAAAATATTTTTCATATATAATTCAATTTACTTGGATTTTCTGCTATAGCTGATAAACTTGCTAAAAAGTAGCAATTTCCCATATATCCTTATCTTATATCTTAAGGTTTTATATCTTTGTAAATCTAGTTATTTTCAAAATTTGCGATATCCTTAGGGCGATACCATTAGAGTCCTTTCCAAGATTATCTAACCAATGCATCATTTCCAACAAGAGAAGCTATTTCATGTGGAAACTCTTCATCGACAAAGTCATTTTTTAGTATTTTTTATCATTTTAACGGAAATCAGGATCAGAGCTGTTTTTCTGCATATTCTCAAAATCATTTAATATTACGAGTTTTCAACTGCATTTATACTTTAACGCAAAAACTTAAAGTAGTCATTTTGCCCTATTTAGGAATATTAATCTATTTCAGCTTTGTCATAAGGTTTTAAAGAATTATAGATTTCTCCTTCATGTTATACTCTCTTAACTTATTTTTTTTTCTTGCTTCATAGTTCAAACCAAATTATTATCTATCACCTTTTGATTAATCACAATTAATAATGGAATTTGTCGGAGACATATTTTATGATTCCATACCATTAAAATTTTATTACTCTTAATTGTTAAATTTATTACTAATTGCATATTATTAATTTGTTTAATTTGGTTGAAGATAAGAACTTATTCCTTAACTTTATGGAACAATGTTATTTTATTATTAATTAAACAAAGTAGAAGGTTAAACGTAAGGATTTATATATTTGTTTAAATCTGAATTATTAGTATATGAATTGTTTTATTTTAAAGGGCTAGAATTTTAGTTGTTTAAGTATTATTAATAATACATTTTTATTTTATAATTAAATTTATAAGTTTTTTTTATTTTGTTTTTCTTTGATTTATTTAAAATGATATGATTTATTATATTTATTTATTAGTGTTTAATTAAAATTCTTTCAGCATATATATAATAAATTAAAGATTGTATTTTTTTTTATTATTAATAAAATTAAATAAATATATATGTATTTATTAAAAAAATCCATTTCATATGAAAGTAAATATTTAAATATAAAAAACTTAAATATAAAAAATTAATATATTATTTAAAGAAAAATAAATATATTTAATATATTTGATATGTTTTTTTTTTAAAATTAAATAATATATTTATGAATTAAAAAAAATAAAATAATATAAATTAAAAAAGATCATAAAATAAAAAATATTTAATATAAAATTAATATTATATATAAATATATTATATATATATATATATATTATATTATATATATATATATATATATATATATATTTATTTATATTTGAAAATATTATTTAAACAATTATTATATACTCAATTTTATTTTTATAAAATTTATATTTAATATTAATTTAAGAATTTTTTTATTAGTACTAAACAATATATATAAATATATAAAATAATAATAATTTTATCATATATACGTATCTTATTTTTACTAATTTTAAATATATATTATATTTTTTATTAAGTAATTTTTATATATAATTTTTTTTATATTTTCTTATAATAAATTATAAAATATTAATTTAATCTTTAATTTTATATAAAAATTAATTTTTTTTTTCAAAAATAAATTTCATCTTAATATAACTTAACTGTTTTTACATTTTACCATTATCCAATACCTTTACTTTAGTATACATTCATCTCTTCTGCACTATCAGTAGTAGAAACTAGTTATCCACTTAAATTCCATGAGATTTTCCAAACTTCAACTTCTAAATTGTAGTTAAGGATTACTTTTTGCAATACTTATAGTTGATTTTCTTCTAAATTTTTTAAATACCATACAATTGCACCTTCTTTACCACAAGTTCCTATTAAATGGAAAGATTTTCCATTATGTAAACTCCAAGAAACATCATTTACTGCTTATGAGTGAAGAAACTCATTTTATTTTGTTTCATCTGGATATATTTTTATTTATTAATTAAGTTTTTGTTAATTTGCTATAATATTAATAGCATAAATTTAAAAGCATTCGCTTTTTTCAACTTCTTCAGGCATTTTTATTGTATTTCCATATACATTACAATAATGTTTTATTTATGAAGTATTGAAATCTTTACAACCAATGGCTATCATTGGCTTGTCAAACCTATTTTTGCTCCAAGAAATACTATTAATTCCAAGCTTTGTGATATTTATTTCAGTAATTTTTTCTTATATTTGTAAATTTAACATATCTTTGAACATAAATATCCTTATAATACCATCTGCTCTTGCTATTGCTAATATCAAACCTAAATGTTTTGGACCAAATTTCATATCTTCTATTGATTCATTGTCATATATTTATGTATTTCGCCATGTCCCTTATTTATCTTTGTTTATTTTATATACATATTTATTATACTTTTGATTATTTTTTTTACTTTAATCTTTCTAATTAAAATCACGATTCTCTTCATATATATTTATATATCTATCCATTGAACAAGCAGCTAAAATGTTACCGAATTCAGGATGAGCCCATTTTACTTTCCAAACAGGCCCATCCTAGTTTGTAATTGAATTTATTTATTTCCATTCTCCATTTGAACTTTTTTAATATATTTTAACTGATCTGTCTGTTGAGCATGTTGCTAATTTTTTACCGTAATCTTTAAAATTATTTTTTTTATATTTATTTTAATTGCATTTTTTTTTATATTAGTACAGTCAAAAGCTATATCGTGAATTATATCTTCGTGGTTTGTATCAATTTTTTAAAATTAATTAATTTTTTATGTTTTTTAATTCATTTTAATTAACTAATTAGCTTTTTATTTTTCTAGATTTTATTTATAGTGTATAAATATTTAATAATTATATTAGTTTATATATTTTGTTTTAAATTATTAAATTATAAATATTTTTTATTTTTTATGAAGAAATATTTAAATAATTTGTTATATTATTTTCAATATAAAACTATGTGCTAAAATTCAAATATGAATAATATTTATTAATAAAAAAATGAGTTTTTAAAATATATTTTTATATACTTTAAAAATTAATAAACGTTTACTTTTTATATATAAAAAAACAACTTTAATTAAATACAAAAGACAAAAAAATGAATTTAGATTAAATATTTCAATAATAACAAGAGAAAATACAAGAATTTTAAGAAAAATAAAAATATGAGCCCATATATTCTCCAAGAACATCTTTAAAAAGATTCTAAGATTAAGATTAAAAACTGTTAAGTGATCTTCTTCTAAAATTAGACCCATTTACAGTTAGTATTTTAAATAACGATTTCGAAGCATAAGGCGGTTAATTAAAAGTAGCAGAATTTATAATAATGATGCTACATCATTTATCAGATTGGAATGTAAATTTAACAAATAGAAAAGCAAAATTAATTCGCATTTTACATAATTTATTTGATTAAATCGATTTGAATTCAAACGGAGATTTAGAATGGATTGAATTGTCTAATTATGTTATGGGAAAGGCTTCTATTTTATAATAAAATAATTAAGTTATTCGTCAATATAATTAAAATTAATTAAAATTAAATTATAATACTATTAACATTATAAAAAAACTTATTTATATTAATAACATTGAAAGGATTGCTTTTTTTGAAGAAGGAAGTAGTATAATTTATTTATTTAATCCTGAAAATTTTACCTTAAATAATAAATTTTTACTTGTCTAACCCGATAATTTGAATGTTAACATAATTAACTATACAGTAAATTAAAAAATTAACTATTTTTATTTTTTTTAAAAAGAAGGAAAATTTCACTTAAATTTAAAAATAATTAAATATTTAACGAAAAACATTCATTTTAGATGTAATCTATTTACAATAAAAATAATTATTATTAGTTTCCACTTCTGATGGATTTATTAGGGCTTATAAATACTAAGCTTAAGGTTTTAGTCCTGCTATTATAAGCAATTAATTAGATACTATTCGTATTTAAAAACATTTTCAATAAGAAGTTTATGTGTTAGCATGGGAAAATTAAAAAGAAATTGTTTTTTGTGGTTAAAAAAATGGAAATATTGTTGCATGGGATATTAATGAAATTTGTAATAAAAAATAAGATTTTTTTTATATAATAAAATAAAAATAAAAAGAAATAATCAACACCAATAAATATGATAAGCTACTTTAAAATGGACATAAAGATGCTGTAACAAGTATTGTTTGTATGGCTTAGCTTTAATTTATTGCTTCAGGGGGTTTGGATGGTTTGTTAATTTTATGGGATACTATATAATATAAAATTAGAACTATCTATAAATAACATACTAGAGGAATAACTTGTTTAACTTATGATCCTTCTACTATTCTTTTATTTTCTTCTGGTTTTGATCATTGGGTATATACATAATTATTTATATTTCAAATATATTCAATTTTTTTCTAAAAAAATAAGATTGGAGTATGGAATCCTTATACAAATCATTTGATATATAAAATATAAGATTATAAGTATCCAATATAACATATATGTGTAATCGAAGGATTAAAATAACTTTTATCAATAGATATAAAAGGAAATGTAAAAGTGCGAGATTTATAGAGATTTAATGTTTTTTAATAATTTTCTCTTGAGAAAAAAAATTAGAAATTCTCATTTAATGCTTAATATTTTTTCTATACGAAGTAACCTCAATTAAATTTATATTTTTGTGGATAGACAATTATTTAATATAATTATGATATGGAATTTAATTAAAATATTTGTGATGATAATCGAATCATTACTTGCATTATGAACTCTTCTTAGCTTAAAATATATACACCTTCTGGATCTAGTGTTAAGGTTTGGAATGCTCTTACAGGATAAGTAGATAAAGTATTCAATATGACTTAATAAGGGATTTAAATTTCCGCATTTTCTTTAGATTATAATGAAAAAAGAATATTTATAGGAAATTAAATTGGACATATATAAGCTTTTAATGCAGAAAATGGAGTTCACATAAAAAATCTTCCAAAGCATAAAGAAGAAGTAATTTAAATAGAAATAAATTAAGTATTAAAAATTATAGCTACTTTAGCAAACGATAATAAAATTAATATTCTTAACGATGATTTTGCTGATGAAGTAATTATTTTATTTATTATTTTTTAAAAAACTTTAAAAGAATGAATAATTAATATTAACCATAACTCCAAAAGATGTTAAAATTTAAAAAGTATAAATTTGTCATAGAAAATAAATAATAATTGCTTCAACTAATAATAGTTAAATTGCTTTCTTTGATATTAAAACTGGAAAACTTTTAGGTTAGTACACATACTAATTTGATAATATAAAAATATATGATATGATATTAATTCCTTAATTAGATTACATTATAATTTGTTTGTCAAATGGATAAGTTTAATTTATAAATACTGACAAGTATTTTTAAGCAATAACTTATTTAATGGTAGAAGATAATGCCTTTTTAACTGGAGGAGATTTTTAAGTTCCTATGGCACTAGCAATATCTAAAATAAAATATTGCGATAAAACTTAAGTTTTATTTGCATATGATTTTAAATAGAAATTATTATCATTTAAATTAAATGAAATAATAAACGTAAATAAATATTTAATAAAAAATAAAAAATATAAAAATATAAAAAAGGATTTATAATTACAAACTTCTAAAAAATTAATGGAAAGTAAAAATAATAAGAATTATAAATATATAACTAACTATCTTTATTGGTCAGCTAAAGTTTAAACAGATTAAATTTAAAATTTCGAATATAATTTCGAACACCAGCTTATTTTCGTAGTTTTGGTTGAAAAGAAAGTCTTAATTTATAATTCCTTAAATGGTGATTTTATTGAAACGTTAAGATAATCAGAACAAATATATTAACCTATTCCTATAGGGTATAGAAAAAAAAATACTATTGATCTTTATGATAATACGCTGAAAAAAAGGATTGATGTTAATGATGATGAGTTGACTTTAAAATAAAAAGATTCGAAAAATTCTGTAAATAATAGTAATAGTAAATCTTCGAAAAACATAATTTCCACAAATGAAATAAAAGAAAATGATTAATATTTTGATTTTTTATAAATTTCGAAATATCTTGAAAACCCTTCAAATAATGAATTTTGTGATAATGATAAAGACGTAGTAAGTTCTTAGAATTCTTCTTAAGAAGTATTTGAGACTCTTCAAAAATCTACAGATCTTACATTACATGAAACTAATTATATTTATCTAAAATTTCCATAAATCGAATAAGATCCTTATTTCTTTTTAAACTTAATATAATAAAATTAATATAAGAAACTCAAAAGTAATACAAAATGGAATTTACATATTAATTATGAAAAATATAGTGCTAATACTAATGAAATATAAAATAAGACTGAAAAACAGGTTGAAGAATTACTTAAAAAAACTTAAGTTTTATAAATTAAAAACTAAAGATTTAAAATTGTTAGATTTTAAGTAGATTTATAAAATTTTGATCCATTTAATAATTATAAACCTATCCTTAATTTTAAGTAAGATTTAAAAAATTAAGAAAATTAATAAAATAAAGGATAGGAATTATAGAATTAAAATTCAAAAATATGGAATAATATAAATAATTCTAAAGCAAATTAAAGAAATAATCATAAACTTTTTGAAAAAACTATAAAGAAGTTAAATCTTTCGGATAAAGAAATTTAAAAACTTTAAAAACTTAATACTTTATTTAAAGAATCATATAATTTGAATAAAATCAACTGATTTTATAATCAAATAGTAATAATAAATACACTTTTATATTAGGTATACTTATAATTGTTTTTATGTATTTAATTCTTTAAATTAAAATATTTTTAATTTATTATTTAATAAGTTATTATGAACATATATATTAAATTATATATACTAAAAAAAATATTTATATGTATTTCCAATTAAATTTGATTTTATTAATTCAATATTCACTTCTCCCCTAAATATAATATAATTTAAAATAATAATAATTATAATACTTTTTTTAATTCCATTATTTTTTTTTAATATTCAAGTGTGCTTTTTTGTAGATGTTCTTATAATTATTTTAATTGTTCTTCTGCCATTGTTGCTCTAACTAACAATTAACTTTTATCTTTTTCAATTGATTTAATCATTTTTTCATAATACATCAACTAAATATATACAATAAATTAAGTAAACAAAAAGACAATTTAAATAAATATTAACAAAAAAATATCAAAAATACTTTTGTTTTCATCATACCAGGGTCGCCAGAAATAGGAGCTATTGATTACCCATCTTCATATTATTTAATCTTTTTATATATAAAAATTAAATTTAATTATTAAATTTACAGATTTAACAAGTCTTTCGTTTTCCTTTTACAACATATAAATATCCCATTTTTTGTTATCTTTAAGCTTTTTTATTAGCAATAAAATTATATTTTATTTAATATTAGAAAAAATAAAAATACCATATTAACAAGTCTTTTGTTCTCTTCAAACAAATCATTTCTTTCTCTTCTTAAAATTTCATTATTTTAACTACTAGATCCAGGTCTGACATTAGAGCTTTTAATATATTCGATTTCATTAATAAGTCTTTATTAAATATCAATATCTTTTTCGGCTTTTTTATTAGCTTAATTAAGTAATTAATCTTAAACTATCTTTAGTTCTTCTTCAAGTCTTCTATTTCTTTTCCTCAATCTTTCAATTTCTACATTTTAATCCGACTTAAAACAAAAATAGAATAATAAAAAATAAAAAAATATTACGACTAAAGCAGGTGTATTTTCATCATCTAATTAAGTTGGAGGATTTCTTTTAAGTATTTCAGGGTATTCGACTCCGACAGGAGCCCAATCTTCAGCTAAATACTTGAGCTATAAAGAAAATTTTTTTAAAGCTTTAATTTCAATTCTTAGATTTTTGGAGACCTTTTTTTCTTTTTCAAGAGCCTAAGTAAGTGATGTTTCTTTTTCATTGTAACTTCTAATAAGTTCCTCTCTTGCATTCATATCATATCCAATTCTTACTGATTAGGATTTATCTTATTAATTTCTTCCTTAATCGTTAGTAAACTATAATAGTTTGCTTCTATAAATTGATCGCATTTCATCTAATTATAGTTACATTTTACTATTTTCTGCTGTTATTTCATCATTATATTTTAATAATTCTTATAATCTGTCTTCTAATTCTTAAATTTTTCTTTAGAATAATTTGTTTTTGTGAGTTAATTCCATTTTTTGACTTTCCCAAAATAACTTTTCGTCATTATTTCTTTTTAAACTTATTTCGTTTTCTTTTGTTAACTTTTAATATTCGTTTTGCTTATCCTTTGTTATTTCTATATAACCTTTTTCCATTTCTATTTTCTTGTTGTCTATATCTAATCTATGCTATTATTCCATTATATCATATCTTAACATCTCTGTCTTTAAGCGTTCTATTTCCGATTTCGCAAAAACCAAAGCTTCTCTTTATTCTTAATTTTCTCTTTCAAATTTTTCAATTCTTTTTTAATTTTTTATCAAATATTTTTTATAATGAAAATAATAATATTAGTTTACTTATGAATAAATTTAGCATTTTCTTCAGTAGTCAAAGATGATTTTTTATAAATAGTGTTAATTTCATCATGAAGAGCTTTATTTTCATTAACCATATTAATTAATTCCATTCCAACATTTTGGTTTTTGGCTTTAGAATCTTCATATAATTTATTGATTTCAATGAAATTTTTTTTCAAAGCAACAAATTCGATTTCTAATTCACGTTTATCGTCTTCCAATAATTTCTTCTCATCAAACAATTAACTAATTTTTTCCAAATTCTTTTCGTCTCTAATTTTTAAATCAAGTAATTCACCATCAGCATTAAGTAATTTTGTATTGCTTTCATATTTTTCAGTTTAAATAATTTCCATTAATTTCGTATTTTCAATTTGTAATTCAACTAAAGCTTTACTAATTTCTAATTTTTCCTCTTCACATTTTATTAATTCCCCTTATAGATCACCTTTATCTTTTACTAATTAATTATATTTTTCTCTTATTTCGGTTAGTTTTTGTGCATATCTTTGCCTGTCTTCTTCTAATTTGAGCTTATCTAGATGTGATTCCATAAGTTTTTTTTCATATTCTTACATTTTATAATTCCCCATATCTCCATCTATACCTACTAAACCTGCATTATTTCCTCTATTGTTTGATTATGCAGCCATGCATTCTGCTCTATATTTTTTAAGTAAACCTATGGCTTTGGATTCATTAACTATTGGGAAATTACTTATATATTCTGCCTTTTTTAATAGATTTAATGTATATGAACTTCCTTTAGGATCTCCATGCTAAATACAAAAAATTCCTACCGATAAGCAATTACCTGCTATCGCGTCTTTCATTAAATGAGTTACTATTGAATTTTCATAAAGGTAATACCCATGATCCTTTTTTTGTATATATTTTTTTTAAATTATATGATTAAAATATAAAAAATAAATAATACGTTTTTTTATTATTAATTAGCAATATCTCTTATTAAAGTTGTAAAAGTGATAATACTTTTATTTAAAGTGGAACCTTATCTAACCCTAATAGCTTCAGGGTCATCAAGCATAATTTCAGACCCTGGCAAATCAATGAAAATCATTTTGGATACCATTACAAGGTTTTCTACTTATCCATCATCAGTAACTATTTCAGATGTTTGAATAAGTTCCATTATAAAAATTGCTGTTGCTTTACTAGATAACTTTCCAAATTCATTTGATGTTTAGTCTCTTCTTTTTGTAGAATTCAAAAGAATTTCATTTAGTTATTCACTGGTTTGTATCGTTACACATGTTGAATTTGATATAATCGGACCTTCCCATATTGTTTCATCTACTCTTAATACTTCTGTAAATTGTGTACCCTTTCCTAATAAATCAGCAATTTCTTCATCTAATATTTCTACAAATCTTACTCTTACTGCATATGAATAATTCTATAAGCCAGCTTAGCGTTATTAATTTGATTATCGCTTTCTTGTATCTAATTAGTTAAATAATGAATTTCCCATATGCATTATTAAACCTGATTCTTTTCTGTTACCTTCTATTGTTTATGATTTGCCTGCACCTGTTGAACCAAAACTAAAAAAACAACAATTAAATCCTAATATAAATGTCGAGACGAAACCTTTTAATGAGTTTTAAAATATGGTTGATAAATCCGTTTCTGGTCCATATACTTCTGAGCAATCATGCTCTTCAATAACTTTTTTTCAATTTTTTTATTATATTTTTTTTGTTATTATAAGTTTTTACTTCTATTATTTGCATCAGTTAAAGATATTGTATTTCCTGTTAATTTAACATCTTCCCTTTGAAAATTTGTTGGAGGTTTTATGCGAACAATTGTTTTTAATGGAGTGCCTTTTATAATCTTTTAATATTCAAGACTCATTATTATTATTTTTTATGGAAATGTATATAATAATATTTAAAATTAATATATATTTAATTATTAATTTAAAAGCTATTTTTTCTTTGTAAAATATTATTTAAATTATGTATTATTATTAATTAAACAAAGCTGTATTAATTAAAAGAAAAATTTAATATTTATAAGTATATAGACATAAGTTTTTAATAATATTATAATTAAAAATTTCATTTTCAGGAATTTAAAAATTAAAATATTTCATTTATGTATTTTTTTTTTTATTTGGATTAAGAAAAAAAATGCAAGCAATTAATAATTTATAAACTAAATATATAAAAAATCTTCATTTTTTAGTCGTTTAAAAGCTTTTCTGTTTAGAATTGTTTATACTAAAATTATCGCTGTAAAAAAATATTTTAAATAAAAATTAATTCTATATTCTAAAATAAAAAAAGAAAATTAAAAATATAATAAAGATAAATACTAGAATTAGGCTTAAAATATTTTTTTTAAATGAGAATATATTATAGATAAATAAAGCTATGATTATGTATTATTAAGCATTCAAATAAATGAAATTTATTAAATTTTAAATTAAAAAGATAAAATAATAAAATAAAGAATTAAAGCCTTAAAAAATTGAAATAAATTATTTTCTAAAAATATGATATAATCATATTTAATTAATATAAAAACTAATTAAGTTTACAAAAAATTCATTATCTTTATTAAAATAATAAATTCTAAAATTTTTTTGTAAAAAAAAATTAATAATAAATAAAATAAAATATAAATGAAATAAAATAAAATAAAATATAAATAAAATATAATAAAATTGGCAAAATTTCTTATTTAAATAAAGTTTTATGGAATTTTTTTTCATAATTATATATAGAGGCTTTTTAGAAAATGATGAAAATAAATAATAGCAGTAAATTAATCAACTAAAAAATAACATTAATCAAACAAGTAAATAATTGAAAATTCAAATAAATAAATACAGATATAGACATTTGATTGTAATTTAATAACAAAAGTTAATAAATATGAATAAATTATATTTAATAAAAAATTAATTTTTTGTTTTTAAAACTTACTTATATAAATAGAGATATAGTAAAATTATATATATGGTACATGTACATGTAAAAACTTACTTAAGTTTTTAAAATATTATATGGATGGAAAATTAAAAAAAATTACAATAAAATAGAAAATATACATAAAGTGAAATCTGAGGTACTAATGTAGTTAGATTTTTTTCTAACAATTAGTCAATGTTTTAAAGTATTATGTAAAAATATTATTATACATAGAGATTTAAAATCAGAGAATATAATTATACATCAAATATTAGCAAAATATCTGATTTCGGTTTTTCTAGAATTATAAATACAGATATGAACCACTAAGTTTACAAAGGTAGGAACTCATTTATATATAACTCATTAGATTATAAAAAGAGAATTCTTTTCAACAAAATGGGACGAGTTGTAGAATTAATTTATATAAAATGCTTTACCGATATATATATTTATATATTTATAAATTTAAATATTTATATATTTATATATTTTTTTATATATTTTTATATATATTTATATATATTTATAATTATTATTAACATTTTTTATATATTTTTTTATTTTGTTTCTATAAAAATTATTAAATGTTTTAATAGTTAAATTCTTAAAATTAAAATGCCTTTTTTTTTAACTTTTAACTTATATTTGTTTTATGTAAATGCTAGTTTTTCAATTTGCGTAGAATTTATATAATGTTACAAAGTGTTTTTCTCAATTTTTTTTAAAAAAAAAAATAATAAAGATATTATAAAATTATTATTTTTAAATTTTTTTTAAGAAATATAAATAATCAAAGATTTATAAACAAAAAAATCAAGAAATTTTTATCATAAATTTTATGATATACTTAATCATAATATTTTTTTGGATTTAAATTTTACTTATATTAATAGTTAATTAAATAATTTTTCATATTATTTTAAATTAATAATATTTAAACTAAAGATATATTATAAATTATTAATTTTGTATAGATTTGTTAAAATTTTTTATATTAAACTTTGTAATTATAATTATGATTATTATAAATTATACGAAAAACGAAAAATATTATTTATATCAAATTATATAGAGAATAGATTAAAAAGTTTGATTTATATATAAAATTTATAAGAGAATCTAATATAAAACCATTAAAAATATATTTTCTTTAATATTCTTAATTAATGTTAATTATATTATTATTTATTTTTTTATAAAAAATTTAATTTAATTTTAATTTTATAATTAACATATCATTTTAAATATGAAATTTATTTATTTAGGTTTATTTAATTTTTTTTTTCACTATCTATATAAAATAGTATTAATTTATTAATTCATTTATTTTTTGAGTTTTCTAGAGATTTGCTTTTTTAAGATGTTATTTTATTTGTGATATTATTTTTAAAATTCTTAGATATTTTGAATTTTTCTGGCGAATTACTTTGTTTAATTTAAGGTAAAAATATTTATTTATTAAAACTTTCAGGTGAATGACATATTTTAAAGGGGGATTAATGTCTTACTCTATTTCCATACTATTTAAATAATAAAAAAAATTATAAAAAAAAAGTAACTCTTTCTAAATAATTTTATCTATCAAAATTTGCTTTAACTAATTTAATTTCATTATGCTATTTTTTTATATTTTAAATAAATTATTTTTTATTATTTTGAAGCAATTGTTAGTATTTTTCTATTTTTTATTTTAAACTTATATCTTCGTTAATTATATTTTAACTTATAAACTAAATAGAATTTTACTACATAATATTTTATTATTTTTTATTTATTATTTATAAATAAACTACTTTTATGGTAATACCTGAAAATTTAAAAACCATATATTATAATATGAATAAATAAAAGAAATCAAAAATTTTCATAATTTTAAAAATAGTTTAGAAACATTTTGTACTTAACTTAAATACTATATTAATTAAAAAATATAATATATTTTTGAAATGAATATATTTTAAAAAATAAAATATATTAAGTTTTTTTTATATTTTTTAAAAAGAAAGACAGATAAGCTTTATCACATATATTTTTTTAAAAAATAAATAAAAATATTACATCATTATTTAAATGTAAATTATTAAATATTTTATAAATTTATTTTATACATGAAAATTGTCAGTAATTTTTATTAGATTATTTTTTGAACTAATTTAAATAAATATATTTTTATAATAATGAACAATAATATTATATAAGAAAAAAAGAAAAATAAAGACGGTGTTTGGTATGTTAAAAGTTCCTATCAAATTTTATAAAAATTAGGTAAAGGAGGTTTTGCTAAAGTATTTTTGTCTAAGGAACTTTAAAGTGAATAATAATATGCTATGAAAATCATTGATAAATCAACTTTAAAAAAAGATTCGTTCAAATAAAAATTAAAGCAAGAAATTTCTTTTTAAAAGCAACTGATTCACGAAAATATAGTTAAATATTTTTCTTCTTTCGAAGATGATAATTTTGTTTATATAGTACTTGAATATTGTAGTAACGAGGTATTTTTTTTAAAAAAAGCTTACAATCTAAATATTTTTATTTATCAATAAAAGACTTTTAAAGAATTATTAGATAGACGCAAAAGGTTAACTGAAATTGAAGTATAAAGCCATCTACTACCTATTATATAGTCTATTAAATTTAGTCATTCCAAAGGGATAATACATAGAGAGTATTTTTTTATTAATCAAAAACTTTAATTATAAATAAAATAGTTTAAAAATAGCAAACATCTTTTTAAATTATAAAATGATAGTTAAATTAGCTGATTTTGGACTTTCAGCTTAAATATAATCAGAAATGCATAAAAGAAAGTAATAAAATATATGTATCTAAAAATAGTTATTTCAAAAAACAGAACTGTATGTGGGACACCCAATTATATAGCTCCTGAAGTTCTTAAAAATTAAGGACATGATTCAATGGTAGATAACTGGGCTATAGGTGTAATAGTGTATACTTTGTTAATAGGAAAACCACCATTTGAAGAAAATGAAGTAGAAAATACTTTAGCAAATATAAAATAAAATAGATATAGTTTTCCAGTAAAAAAATATATAAAAAAAAAATTAAACTTCTAAAAAAAATATAATAATAAAAAAGTCAAAAGTTTAATTATCATAATAAGCAAAAGATTTCATTTAGAAAATATTAGTATAAAATCCAGATAAAAGATTAACTATTGATGGAATGCTATAACATCCTTTTTTAAATCACAATGAATATATAATTCCAAAAACAATGTCAAACAGTACTTTAGCACTTCCTCCGACGAAAAGTTTTATAGAAAATTTAAAAAAATATTAAAAAAAAATATAAAATGAAATTGATTTTTAAAAAAAAAATTCATTAGATGAGGAAGCACCTAAAAATTTAATAAATGCAATATATTTAAAGGATTATATAGATTGTAATAATAAATTTATTTTATCATATCATTTAAGTAATGGCAATGTTGGAATAATTATGAATGATGGTAATATAGGTTATATAAATCAAACTAATATTTATTAATTATAATTTGTTTCTAATCAAAAGCAAGTCAAAATTTAAAATGATAACGAATATAAATAAAATATACATAACTTAATAATATAAATGTAATAATATTTTATTAACAAAAATTAAATTTTTATGAAAGTTTAAAATTTATAAATTTCATAAAATCGAGATTAAAATATTTATTTAAAAAAATATAAATATAATGAAATCGCTTCCTTTTTTAAAATGAGTAATAAAGATATGCATGTTATTTTCAAAGATAAAAGTGAAATTATTATTTCTTAGTAAAATAAAGTCATTTATTATAAAAATAAAAATTGTAAATTGTTTACTTATGAAAGCTAATATCAATAAAATATACCAATTGATGTTAGTAAAAGATTAAATTATATAAAATGTTATAACTCTAAATAAAATAAATAACAATTATTATTAAATGACGAGAATTTTAAATCTTAAAATAATAATTAATTGTAAAATGAAGAGAAACAAAATAAATTATAAATTAATATGACTACATAAAAAAATAATAAATTTGTTTAAAATAATAACTGTGGAGGGGAAACTTTAAACACTAAAAAAAATTAAAATGCAGTAAATAATAACTAAATATGTAGTAATGCTTATAATAAATATATATCTAATTGAATTTAATTTTTTATATTTAATTTAAATCTATATTTTGTTAAAATTTAAATTTTTTATTTTTAATAGAATTTTATTGGAAAAAAAAAAAAAAAACATAATTATTTATTTTATTTTCAAAAAATTCTAATAAGTAATTATAAAATACAATCTAAATAGATTATTTTCAATTTATTATTTAACATTTAATTATCAAATATAGTTTGATCTTTAAAATTAAATTTTGTTTGTTTTCAATTTTAAAATAAACATTGTCATTATTAAAAATTTTTTTTTTTCTCTAATATTTAAATATCATTATATTTATCCTCAAGCTGATATATTTATTCATTTTTATTAATTTAGAAAGAATTTTAATTATTATTAATAATAATATTATCGATACTAATTTTTGTACTTTTCTTTTTATTATAGGAAGTATTTAATTCTTCAATTTACAAATTACTACTTAACTTTATAACTTTTAATTATGATGTGTAGTATGCTTCTGTGTTTAAATTGCCTTACTTCATTTATAACTTAAGCTATTTTGTTTCGTCAGAGTCATTTAAACTTGAGTTAGATAGTAAATTTTATTAATTATCTGAAAATTTATTTATTCCATATTAATTTCTTTTTTTATTATTTTTCAAATATTTATATTATTATCATTTTTTTTTAATTTTACTATTTTAACGGAGCTTCTAATAAATAACTATTTTCAATTCTTTGTTATTCATTTGAATTTTTATTTTAAATATTTTATATTTATAGTTAATGCATTTTTTATAACTCTTCAGCTTCATTTTATAATCTAATGTTTATTTCATTATAATTTTCTTTTGCTTTTATTAGGTTAGTTAGTTCATTAATATAATTTTGGTAGTGTTTTCTAAAAATTTGAATATAATCTATTTTTTATTAAGCTTGTTATTATTTTTATTAAAATGTGTTATAATGTTAATTAACTATTTTTAAAAATAACAATTAAATTAATAATTTTTAAAAAAATATTTAAATAATTATATATATTATTTACTTAAATAATTTTTTATATAAATATATATAGAGAAAATATTAAATAAAAAAAAAATTAACTTAAACTATAAATTTAATTAAAGAAAACATCTTTTTACTTTATGTTATATTCATTTGCCTTTTCGTTTGCGAATGTTAAAATGCTATCATAATTAAATTCTTACAAAGCATTATCAATCGAAAAGACCTCATCAAATTACTACATTTTGAAATAAAATTAAATCCAAAATTTATTATCTTTTAATTCTCTGGTTTCAATTACATTAACATTATATTTTATTTCTTATATATTTTCTTTTTTAATTTCTTCAATTTTTTCTTATGATTTAATTACTAATAACTATTCTGGAACTTTTTCTCCTACAAGAAGAACCGGATAATTATCAATTTCACTTTCTTTAAAAAACTCATCTTATAATAAATCACTTGCTGATGGTCTATTTTCTGCATTTTACAAACACTTAACAATAAATTATTTTAATTATTCATTTTAAATAAGCTACAAGCTTTAAGGATGTATGCCTTAACTTACTTTTTTATATACTTGGGCTGGAGATCGACATTCTTTATAAGGAACTTCTAAAGTAGCCATTTCTAATAAACACATTCCAAATGCATAAATATCAACAGGTGTTCCATATTTTTCCTCATAAATTTCCGGTGCCATAAATTCTGGTGTGCCTAAAACACTACTTGTATAATCAGTTTTTAATGTTAAAGCGAGACCTAAATCGCCGATTCTGATCTAATTATTTGATGTATTTATAAATATATTCTCACATTTTATATCGCGATGAATAATACAATGAGGTTCTTACTAATGTAAATATTAAAGACCACTTAAGATTTACTTACACCATGTTTTTATTATTTTTAAACGCGGTTTCTTTATACGATTTAAATATCTTTTCAAAGAACCACCGCTTAAACATTCCGTTATAAATACTATTTCATTTTTTTATTTATTTATCCATGCATTTATGAAGTTTATTATATTTTTATGATGCAAATTTTTCAATATTGATATTTCATCAGATATTCTTTTTCTTTCATCTATTTTTTAAATAGTTTTGTGTTAAATAAAATTATAATAGTAAATTAATTTAATTATAAAGTTTTGTTTTATACTTTAAGGTAATCTTTATAATTTAATCACATTCCATGCTATTTCACATCCTGAATCATTATCATAACCTTTATAAACAATTTTATAGGCTCCAAAACCTAATTCTTCGTTAAACTTTATTTATTTGAAAATAAATAAAAATATTTAGATATTTAAAATGAATAATAAATATAATTATTTATTTATATTTTCTTTACACGTATAAATCGGCCTTTAGGACTATATTCAACAATTTGATTCTTTTACTCTTCTGTTAAATCTTCTACCTTATTTATTTTAATTTATTATTATATTTTGAATATTTAAAAATATTAGATAATGTATTATTTGATTTTTTTTTTTATTTCAATAAATAATTTAATTATTTTTTATTTATTTTAAATAAAGGTTTATATAAAATATAAAAATAAGGTCAATTTTTTTTTTTTTATTTATAAATTACAATATCATTCATATTCCTTTTAATTTCTTTGTATGTTTTTTTTTTATTATAATTTTTAAATCTAATAAATAAATAATACAAAGTAAGTTAATTAAGAAATAATAATAAATAAATTAAAAAAAAAATTGATAAAAATTATAAATATTTATATTAATACACTATAAAATTATATTTTTAAATATTTAAAAATATTATAATATATTATTTGATTTTTTTTAATTCAATAAATTAAATTATTTTTTATTTATATGAATAAATGCTTATATAAAAAAATAATAATTATGTTATTTATTTATTTTTATAAATTTCAATATAATTTATATATTCTTTAATTTCTTTGTAGGTTTTTTTTTATATTATAAATTTTAAATCAAAAAAATAATTAAATACAAATTAAGATAATTAAAAAATTATAATAAATAAAAAAATTGATATAAATTATAAATATTTAATATCATATTATTTCTCTATTAAAATATAAATAAATTATAATAATTTTAAGTATTTTTTAACTTAAAGAAAATTTTAATTATTTTAAATTTTAAATGTTATTATTTAATGATCAATCAATATATCATTTATTTATATAAACTTTAACAAATATATAAAGAATATATTCAATAGATAAATTATTTTTATTTTTAATATAGTTTTGACTAATGCAGTTGTATTAGAACTAATGCCAAAATATTGTACATATATTATAGGTGGCTAGTATAAAAATCGGATAAATACATCGTTATTCAGAGTTTTATTCTTTCAGTTATTTGTTTAAATAAAATTAACCAGAATTACTACACTTCGCTTACAGTCAAAGAAATTTTTATGAAATAAAAGATGCAAAATATTTGAAAAATAGAAGAATTTCACCTGTATATTTTATTGATAAATTTTCAGAAACAGAACATGTTTTTTAAAAATATTATAATTTATAAGAAACAATAATAATAATAATGAATTAAAAGAAATAATTTCATATATTTACATTTAATTGTTAATAAATATAAAAATATTTTTCTTTTTTTGAATGAAGGATGTTTTTAATTATTTAAAAGTAATTATAAAATAAAAAATTAAATGAAAATTTTTACTTTTAAAATAGTCTCTTAAAATTAACATATTTTTATTAAAATTTTGGATTTTTTTTAATTTATTATTGAAAATTTAAAAATTTATTTTAAAAAATAAAATTAAAATGTATATTTTTATTCTCAAAGAAAATACATACAATTTTAATTTATTTGTACAGTCATTTATGTAAAAAAAAATAACAATTTATGATATAAAAATTAATTTGAATAATATAAAGAAATAAACTAAAATTTTATATTTTGAGAAGAAAATTAAAAAAAAAAAATATTAAAGAATATAAATAAATTATTTTCAGTTATTTCATGATATGTTAAAAATAAATGAATTGAATAAAAAAAAGAATATTATATTAAAATTATGAAAAATAAGAAGACTTAGAAAAAAAAATTTAATTAGAATAAATAGAATTAAATAAAAGTAAGTGCTAAAAAATAAATTTTATAATAATTTTTTCTAAAGAAAATAGAGATGAAAATATCAATAAAATAAATAGATATATAATATATATATAAATATATTTTTTTTTTTATAAAAAAAATATTTAAAAAGTAAGAAAATATATATAATAATAATTCAAATATATTTGATAAAATTAGAAACTTTAATAAATATTTAAAAATTAATTAATATAATATTAAAAAAAAAATATTAAATAAAAATATTTAATTATATATTAAAGATTATAATACAAATTAAAAATAAAAATTAAATACAAATTTAATTTATTTTAATATATTTAGTTTTGTAAATATAATGAAAAAAGAAAAAGTATAAATTAAATATTAAAAAATAATAAAAAAAATTAATATATATATATATTATAAAAAATATATAAAAAAATCTATAAAGATAATAATATATATATCTATAAAAATATATATATAAATATATAAATATATATATAAATATATATATATATTTTATACATATATAAAAAGATTATAATAAATATATATAAATTAATTATTAATAATTTTTTTTATTTAAAATATATATTAATTAATTTATTTAATCTAAATAATTTTATTTTTTATAAGGTATATTGTATTATATATAAATTATTTATTATAATTATAATAGTAAGTCAATATATATAAATATTTATTAATAAAAATTAAAATATTATATATTATTTATTATATAGTTTATTATATATATCATTTTATATTTTAATATATAATCATATATAAAAATACTATCTATTTTTAAATAATTTTATTAAAAATTATAATTATTTATATATTCTTTTATTTCTAATTAATATTTATTTAATAATTTTATATATATATATATTTAAATTAATCAATATTCTTATATAATATATATAATTATTTTATTTATATATTTATTTATATTTAAATAAATAATCTTTTTATTTTAAAAACATCAATAGAAATAATTGATTACTTAAAATAATTTATTTTTTTAATTTTTAATCATTTATAAAATATAGTTTAAATTAAATTATTTTAAACTGTAAATTTAGCTTCTTTACATATAAAGTCTTCGCCATCAATTTCTATATTTACAATATCATTATGCATTATAACTTTAACTTCTGATCCTCTATAATAATGTATTGCATCATTGTAAATATGTGATCCATTTTATTCAGCTTATTTTAAGAAATTTATCATATTATTTATTGAGTTTAATTCTTCTTTTTTGCAATATATTATATCTATTAAACCATCATTTAACTATAAGAAAGTAAATAAATATTAAAATAAAATATAAAAGATTACTTAAGCTATAGGACAGGCTCTAAATTTAGCTCCAGTTCTTTCTATATTATTGATTTACAAAAAATTTATAAGTTACTTATCTTCAATAACTTTACCATCTATATAAATACTCATTAAATCTGCTTTAGCTTAAAATATTTCAATTATAGCAGATGCTTTATACTTAAAATTATATAAATACCCCAGTTTAGAAGATCTAGCATTTGCCCTTCCTGAAAATCCGATTCCTGCTTAACAACTTGAAAAGTATGTTTTATTTTAATTATTTTCATCAATAATTTCGCACTTAATAATATCAATCTATCTAATTTAAGGTTTTATTAAATATTTATTTACAAAATTATCCATTTTTTTATTATCAAAACCTAAGCTTCCACAAAAGTCGTTTCCAGTGCCCCCTGGTATTAAAATAATTCTACAATTTTAATATTTTTATAAAGATCCAATTATGTTCAAAGCCATAAAAATAGAACCATCTCCTCCACATATCATTAATAATTAAGTAAAATCATCAAAATTGAAATTACTAATAAAATCATTAAAAAATTAGATTGATTTCGAAATTACTTATTAAAATTATATTTTATTTTAATTTAATTAATTTATCACTTTTTCGCATACTTTTTAACTTTTTCCGCCACCACTCGTAGGATTTATTAAGATTATTATTTTTTCAGGATTTATTTATTAAATTTATTATTATATATCTTAAAAGCAAGGAAAAATAGGAGAACCAACTATACTTTAAGAGCAACATGATTTTCCTTTTATAGCTTAGTTTTTATTAAATTTTATTAAACCTTTTGCATTTTAATATTATGTAATGTAAGGATTTTAATTAATTTATCTGAGCTCAGTAACTTCTTCTTTTTATTCTTAAATATTTTATTTATTAGATGGTGATAATATCATTTTAATATTTATTTGTTTTTATTAAAATATTTTTATTTTTGTTACTTTATAAAATTTTAAAATTTTATTGAAATTTAAATAACTTTATTTTATTGAATAAAATAAATATAATTATTGATTTATTTTATTTTAAAAAATCTTTATAATAATTTTTTTATTTTAAATAAATGTTTTCTTAATAATTTTAAATTTAAAGCAATATATAATTAATATAAAATTTAATAATACATTATACAAAAAAATTTGATTAAAAAATTTATAATGTAAATTTAGCTAAGGAGACTAATAAAATTTAAATATCTTTTAATAATATTTCAAAAGAAAAGAACTATTTATCAATATTTTTTGATTTACTAATTAATTTTATTTTAACAAATAATATTTTTTACAATATGTTATTTTTTAATTTATTAAAAAAAAAATACATCTAATTTTCGTTGTACTTAGATTTATTTTAATGTAATAAAGGAAAACAAACAGACCTTCAAACAACTTTTTAGATGTAAATAATTTTGATTTTTACATAATTATTTTTATATATTAATTAACTAATATATACAAAAGGTTTCAACTTAGAAAGAGATGTTTAGAGTTGGTTTAAATTAAATTTAATAAGAAAAAATAATTTTAAATTGGGAATATGTACCACGTGAAATAAATATTATTTAATTAGCATGTACATAATAAAATTGGTTTTGCTTATCAAGTAAATTGTTAGATATATATTATAAAAATGATTAAAACACTCATAAAAAACATAAATAGCATCAGGAGATGTTTTTTCATGGGGTTCCAAAAGTACATGTTTAGGTAGACAATGTGAAAGCATTTAAGATGCAAGGAATCCTATGAAATTAGATAGAATCAACAAAATCGTTAGTATTGCAACTGGTTATAACCATATTTTAATTTTAGACACATAAGGCTAGGTTTATACTTGGGGTAAAAACGAATCGGGATAAGTATTTAATATTAATTTTCAAATAAATAACCAAATAAAATATTTGAAATTAATAATTTATTTTTTTGTAGCTTGGATAGAGTGACACAAAACAATATGATGAACCAACTTTAATACAAGTAAAAAAATATTTATTATTTAAATTAAATTCTTAAAATAAAATGAAAAATAATATTAATTAAATTTTAAATTATTGATTATTATTAATATTTAAAATAATATTATTTTAAAAAAAGACTTTTTAGAAAGATCCAGTTGTTTAAATTTATGCAGGTGGTGATTGTTCTTATGCTGTTTCAAGAAGAGGAAATATATATTCATGGGGTGATGTAATAATAAAAATAAAATAGTTAAATAATGATTTTTAAAAATAAAAAAATAGAATACAAATAATTAACTAGGACATAGAGATTAAGATATAGTAATTGAACCAAGGGTAATGATGCTCTGTCCTTGGGATTCATTAGCTGAAATAAGAATAATTTATGGAAGAGATAATGCTTCATATTTATTTAATATTAGCACTGAAAACATGATAGATAAATAAAATGAAGCTAATACAAAAAAAAGCAGTATTGCATAAATAAATTTGACAAGCAATATATTTTCTAATTAAACGCTTTAAAATAAAGATAATAATAATTAAAACTAAAATTAATATAATATGTATTCCTAAAATTTAGTTATAAAATAATTGAATTATGAAATTAATGATTTAAAAAAAAAAAATGAAGAATTAAAAACTAAACTTAAAAATTTAGAATAATAAGATTACTAAGAAGATTCAACTTAAAATAATGAAAAAAAAGATTATATTTTAATTAATATCAATTAAAATTTAGATGAACTTAACAGATTGAAAGCAGAAATTGTATTTTATTTCATATATTTTTTATTTTTTTATTTTATAAAAAAAAGGATTAAAAACTTAGAGGTTTTGAATAAGATTGCTAAAGTTATATGAAAGAAATTGAAAATTTAAAAACTTAAGAATGTACATTTTAATTTATATATTTTAATTATCTTTTATTTTTATTTTAATTTAAAAAAAAAGAAATAATAAACAAAAAGGATGAAGATTTGCTAACTAATAAAAAAAACTATGAATAATAAATTAAGCTTTTATAAACTAAAGAAAAAACACCTGAAAATTAATAATAATTAAATAATCTTTATAGATAAATAGGAACTACAAAGGAACTTTTATTGGCAAATGAAAATATCAAAAATACGCTTTTAAGCAGATAAAATGAAATAGAAGAATAAAATAAATTCTTATTAAATAATATAAAAACATTATCGCATTAAGCTGATGATATTTAAAAAAAATAAATTTTGTATAAAATGATTAAAGAAGAAAGAAACGAATATATAAAATAACATTTTTTAGAATAAAAGAAGGTTAACTTAGAAAAAATTATTATGATTATCTATTCTTAATTTAAAATACTCCAAGAAACTACAATAAACAAAATATCATAAAAAAACCTAAATAATTATACAGGGATAGATTAATTAGTTGAAGAAAGTACCAATAAAATACAGTAATATAATAATAAATTATTTTAAATATATTAATTTTTTCAAATAAAGAAAAATTTAATAAGATTTAAAGTAATTAAAACTTTCTTCAAATGATCCTTCTGCTGATATAGTTTAAAAAATTATAGAAATATTAGAAGATACTATGTTAAGTAGAATTAGAGTATTTATATTTTTTATTATTTTATATATCTTATATTTAGATAAATGATTTGACATAAGGAATATTAATACAAACAAGCATTAAATATTAGAATTGTTTACAAAACATGCAATAGCAAACATATATTTAATAAAACGAAGTATAAGATTAAACTATTAATGAATAAGATGTTTTATTAAATAAAAAAATAGAAAAGAAAAATTTTAACTAATAATTATTAGAAGAATAATAATTAATTGAATAATATATAGGATAATAAAAATATGGTAAACAAGCATATAAATAAACGAATAATGATTAAGGCTAACCTAAAAAGCGTGTAAAATTTTATTTATATATTGTAACAAATTTATAATATATTTTTTAAAGAAAAAAGCTGATGGGCTTTTTTGTTTTTGAGTTAAAATAATTAGATGTACTAAATAAATAGAAACCAATTTCAATATGAAATCGAAAAAATATTTAATTTTTACGTATTTATCAAATATATAATTTTTAAATAAAAATCAATTATTAATATATTACCCTTATTGCAATCTATATTATACTCCAAAAATACAAACTTAAGTATTATAATAGTTTATGCATATATCGAAATTTCAAAAATTGCAATATATTTTGCAAATGTTACATTTGAAGTAGTTCTATTAGGACAAAATTTTATACGTTAAATATTATTTTAAGAATATATTCATTAATATAAATAAAAGTTAATTTATATATATAAAAAAATTAAATAAAATAATATTTAAAATATAATTAAATATGAAAATAAAATTGTAGACTCTAAAATAAAATTAATAATTTTATTATATAAATTTATTTTCTGCTTAAATAATATTTTTATATAATTTATCTTTTAAGCACTATTAAAATTTTTGAGAATATTAATAAAATTATAAATTATTATTTAAGCAGAAAATAAATTTAAATAGAAATTTTTTAAATTATTAATATTTTAACATATAATATAATTATTATTATATTTATTTTATTTTATTAATTATATGATTTATCTAATTTAATATATTATTATAAATTTAATTAAGTTATAAATATTTATATGAATATATTATTCTTTTCTAATTTTTATATAAAAATACATTTAAAAAAATATGATAAGAAACTGTTAACGTTCTTTTTTTTTGATAAAAATTATATAAATATATGATATAAATATAAAAAAAAATTGATAAATAATGTATTTAGACTTTATAATTGGACATTTTATAAATTAAATATAACTCTAAAATTTATTTTTAGGATCATATAGTTTTACTATTTGCTTAATACAATATTTTTTGTTTAATTAATTATACAAAAATTAATTATATATTGTTAATTTTAATAAAAATAAGTAATTTTTTTATTAATACAAACTATTTAGTAAGTTTTATAATATTTTATTAAACTAAATATTATAATAATTTATTAAACTAAATAAAAAATAATCTAAAAATACTAGATATAAATTCAATTTTCATAAATAAAACTTTATATATAAAAAAAAAATACTAAAAATAATTTAATATAAATTGTATACATTAATTTTATACTTAATTTTATTATTGATATTTTCATATTTTTGAGAATAAAAAATTGTAAATATATAATTATATTTAATAAAAATTAATAAGATTTTTATTCTCTTATCTAACCTTTTTATATAAAATTGTATTTTAATGAGTTAATTTTAAAAAGCTTAAAATGATTTGAACTTGCTTTAGAAAAATGTTTCTTTTTTGAAAGATTAATATTGTAAGATATAAATTATTTTAATCTATAATTTATTTATTAGCTAATAAAAAAAATAGATAATTATAATAATTTTGGAATTGAAGTAAATGAAAATTTTGAACAAGTATATAAAAAAGAAATAAAAAATTTTAAATTATATGAAAAAAAACAAAAACAAAAAACAAAAGTATTTTACAGAAACAGTTTAACTTTCAACAGTTATAAACTAATTTTTATTCTAAGAAAAATATCTATTTTAAGCTAAAGAATTTTAAAAACTAGAAATTTAGTTTTTAAAAGTAATTATTTATTATGTTTATTATTTAATAAACATTTAAAAAAGCAACTAGAAATACTTTAAGAAGTATAAATGAAATTAATTTAAGACAAACAAAATGACTTAAAAATAATTAAATAAGACTAACAAAATAGTATATTAAATAAATCAGTGAAATCATTAAAATCAGCAAAAAAATCATTAAATTAGTCACATCAGTTAAATAAATCGTATGAATAATAGCGAAATTTAATTATAGCTTAACAATCAATTATATAAGCTTAAGGTGAATAGACTTTAAGTTATATAAGAAATAGTTAAATCGATGATTAAACCAATTAAACTCATAACTTTATTTGTAAAGAAAGCGATACAAGCGATGATGGAAGTCAATTCGATTAATCGTAAATTATTTTCCTCTAAATAATATAGAATACTGAATAATAAATAAAAGTTTTTTTTTTTTTTTATTCTTTCATTTTCTATTTCATATTTTTTTATTTTGATTTTAATATTCTATATATATATATATATACATATATAAAAAAAGATTATAAATTAAGAATGCAGCAAATAGTTTAAATAATTGAATAAAATAAAATATAATATGTTGAGGAAGAAAATATAGAAGAATCAAAAGTTTAAATTGATAGTGTATTTCAGGATAGTATTTACTAATAAAGAAAAAAATAAACTTGTATCGAACAATAGCTGCTTAATTAAAAAGAATAAAAAAATAATAAATAAAGTAAAAATTTAAAAAAAATTATTGGTTTAATAATATTATTAATAATTATTGCTTGTATTGTTACATTAGTTATTTTAAGAAAAAAACTTTGATTATTTATTTATATCATTTTTTATTAATTTTTTTTTATTTTTATAATTTTTTTTATAAATAATTAAAAATTACCAAATAAAATATATTTTAGATATAATACATTTTTTTTAAAAATAAAATAAAAGAAATAAAAAAAATGCCAAAAAAATAAAAATAATACAAAAAATAAAAGAATATAGTTGATGGATAAAAAAATACTTAAAAAATAAAAAAAGAAAAAATCATTAGAACAATATAAACAAATATAAGAAGACCAATGACACGTTCTATGTCAATAAAAAATAAGATTGCGAAACAAAATACATTTAATTTTCTACCTGATGGGGAAATGAAGGAAAGTAGTTAAAATAATGAATAATAATTTTCATCAGAAAACGATGAGTATTAATTTACTCCTAATTTTGGTTCTTGATTTCTAAAATTAATTAAATTTTTTAATGACATATATGATATAATATATAATATATTTTTAGTTTTGTTTCGTATTAAGTGAAAGAAATATAAAATATTTTAATGATTTTATAAATTTATTATAAAAATAATGTTTTCATTCTTAAAATTTATTGAAATTCGTTAAAAATAAAACAAATATTAAGGTAAAATTGTAAAATTCAAATTTATATTTTGAAAATCAGATTTAAATAGAAAATTTTTTAAAAAATATTAATATTAAATCTTAAAAAACAATAATTTTAAACTAATAATTATAAAATTTTTAATAAAATCAAATATTAAATCTTTAATTTATAAATATTTTTAATCTTAAAATATTTTTTTATCTTATTTCAATGATTTTTAAAAAAAAAAATTTAAAGATTTTACTGATAAAAATAATAATATTTAATTTAAAAAATAAATTATAATTATTTTAAAATATATTTTTAATCATTTTCTCTTATTTTAAAATATATTTTTTTCATATTTCATTTGCATAAAAATAAAATAAAAATTATTATTTAATTTATATGATATTATTTCAAACCAATATTGTTAAGTTTTATATATTTTAAATAAAATATTGTTTATTTACTAAAAAGATTATTAAAATTTATATAATATTACTAATAAATATTAAATTATAAATTAATTTTTTTATTTTTATTAATAATATAACATTAAATTTATAATATTAAAAAAAAAAATATAATCAATTAATAAATGAAAAAGGGTATAATATATATTTAAAAGAATATTAAATATATTAAAATATTATTAATTTTTATGTTTTAAAAAGATTAATATTCAAATTCCTTTAAATAAATGAAAATTTCAATAAAATTAAATAAGCAAAGTACAATATAATTAATTTAAATATTTTTCTTCTATTCATTTAATATATTATATTTTTCATTTTTTTGTTTATTTATTTCATAATAAAAAAATTGTAAAAAAAGAAATATAGAG